ACCAACTCACAACTTTACTTCCAAGAAGTTGGCAACTTCTTATTGTGTTATTTTTATTTTATTTTATTTTATTGTCTATTTGACAAAACCTGCATGGTCAGAATCTAAATATCCATTGAGTTTAAAACTTGTATCTTCGGGATACTAGAGACCTACATTAGGAGTTCCCTTTAATTATCTGAAAATCATTTTTACAGCAAGGAAAATGGGATTTTTTAGGATTGGCTTGATATCTTGTAGAGAGACATGTAGAAAACATAATATCTGGCGACTTGCAATTAAATATAAAAGAGAATCAATCATTCCTTTAAAGTTGGTTACATTAGGCATGGGAATGGGCCCGACCCGTCGAGGAACCCGGTCTACCCGTCCCGGTCGCGGTCGGGGTCGGGGTCGGGGATTCCCCGCTAAATCGAGGACGGGGACGGGGATCCCCTTTTGTCTCAAACCGGGGATGGGGACGGGGACGGGTATGGTACTCCCCATCCCGCCCCGTACCTATTATATATATATATATATATATATATATATATAAAAAAAATTTATATATATATATATATATATATATGTGTATATTATTTATTTCAACTAAAGCTAAGTTAGTTCATAATTTTATTATTTCCTAACTAAGTTTATAATCTAAATTGTTTTTTTTATGTTAATATGTAATACTTTGGAGGTCAAATCAAAATACATTTACTCGATAAGTTTTGTATATTACTTGATATGATTTTATATTACTCAATATCTTTTGATACACGTGACTTTAAGTTTTTTTTTATTTAATTGAACTTTTTTGTTTTAGGTTATTAGTTCTTATATGATGTTGTGGTTTTTTTTGTATTAAATTAAATTCATTTTGGTTTTAGGTTTATTGAAAATGTTTGAGATTTAAACATATATGGTGTTTCACATATTTAATTTAAAATAACTTATATAAACAGGAAAAAAAATCCCCATTTCCCCGTTGGGGATGGGGATGGAAATGTGATTATATTCCCCGGCAGGGATGGGGACACGGATTGAGGTCCCCGCCCCATTCCCATGCCTAGGTTACATCAATTGCTTTTCCATTTGGATTAGAATGTAACTTTAATGGAAAGTCATTGGTGTTTTCGAGGGTGAGAAGTGATCAAACTTAAATATCTTATCAAATCTTTGACATATTTACTTTGACTAATAAAAATAGCATCAGAGGTTTGTTTCACTTGTAAACCTAGAAAGAAGGTTAATTCATCCATCATGCTCAATTCGTATTTACTTTGCATAAAAAGATTAGCAAAATTCATATTACAACAAATAATATATCGATTACATAGATTTGGACAAGAATGACATCATTATCAACTTTCTTAAGAAAGAAAGTGTTGCCAATACTGCCATGGATAAGTTTATTTTTAAGAAGGAAGAAAGAAGAGTGTCGTACCATGCCCGATGATCTTGTTTGAGGCCATAAGTGCTTGGTCTAACTTGTATACATGAACAGGATGAATTAGATCTTCAAATCTTAGATGTTGTTTCATATACTTCTTCTGACAACTTACCGTTTAGAAAAATCACTTTTAGCATCCATCTGGAAGACTTTGAAGTTTTTCTAAGCAACATATGCTAGAAAATTCTGATGGCCTCAAGTCTTGCTACAAGGGGCAAACGTTTCATTATAACCTATTCCTTCTTCTTGATTGTATCCTTGAGCCACAAGTCTAGCTTTATGTCTGATAAGAATACTATCTTCATCCATTTTGTTTCTGAAGATCCATTTCGTACCAATGATATATAGAGTAAATTACAACTTTTGTCTATGTGGTTTGTTAATAATTTCAATTTTCATCCTTATAGTTTGAAAATTGAGATTTCGTTTTTATGGTTTATAATTTATTGCTATTTTTGTCCCTAGATTAATTCTTACCTTAAAGTATAAGGAATCAAAACAGTAAAGAACTGTAAACAAACAATGACCAAAACAATAATAAATTAGTTTATAACACATATTAAAAGCAGTTTTTTTAATAAACTTAAAAGATAATTAACATACTATTGTCAAGAATGCTTAAAGTATATTACAATTTTCATGCAATATACTTTTTTAAAAGAACAGGTTTAGAAAAAAAGAAAAAAAGAACTGTAATAACACTTGTACGTCATTGTCCAGATGTCACTAGTCTTTCGAGATGATTTTAGGATGTAGGTTTTTCTTGAGAAATATGTAGATCTTGTACGTCTTTTTGAACTGCAAATGTTAGGGTCCGTATGGTTTGACATAATGTTTTTAAGAGATTTGGATTGTGTACAAAGATTTAGAATTTGAAACATTTGGTATGTTTGGTTTGTAGGATTAAGAAAAAAATAATTTATAAAAACAAAATACAAACAAATTACCAGTTTATCAATCGATTATTACAAAACAAGTTTTTTAACATATTTTAAAGCATTATTACTAACAAGTCCTATTAAATACCAGCTATCCTCATAGGATTTCAATTACGGACGTTTATTTAACCCAAACACAAAATTGGAATGGAATTCAACTCCAAACTACCAAATATCACAAACCAAACGTGCCCTTAGGGGTGGTTTGGTTTGCGAAATTCAAGGGAATTGGAATGATCAATTCCTTTGATCAAATTCCAATTCATTTATTTGGTTCATATATTGAAAATGTAGGAATCTTTTGAATTAAATTCTATAAATTAATGAATTCGTTATTTATTGGCATAAGTTAAAGGTTGAAATTTCATTCCTTCGTATCCAATTTAAACAACATCGTTCACCCCTGCCCCTACCACGACAATGTCATTGCTCTTACCTAGGGATGGAAAAAAAAACCAGAAACCGATGGTGAAAACAGAAAAGCAGAAGTTTTGGTTCGGGTTCGGGGACATCTTATCAGGGACGGAGCGGAGATCGGGGACAAATTCGGGGATTTTAACGGGGACGGTGATCACCGGCCGATATGTGTAATATATATATATATATATATATATATATATATATATAGAGGTTGGTTCAAATAGAAACCAACCATATGTTACAAACTATG